GTACTTCCTCCCCCAGCCTCTTCACAGCCAAAATTCTATTTTCTGCTCTGGATGGCCTCTGTCCCCTCCCCTTCTGCACATTCAGTGCCTCCAGGTTGGCTTCTTCCCCTGGAGGGACCCTTCACAAGCCCCTCTTACTAGAGTCAGTGGTGGCCTGGTGTCTTTGAATCCGGTGTCTGCTACTGGGCCTCAACTTTCTCCCCTTCAACAGCCTTGACACACCGGTCACTCCTTTCTTTTTCTTTTTTTCTTTTTTTTTAATTTCTTTTTATTTTTTTACTTTTTATTTTTTTTTTGCGGTACGCGGGCCTCTCACTGCTGTGGCCTCTCCCATTGTGGAGCACAGGCTCCGGACGCGGAGGCTCAGCGGCCATGGCTCACGGGCCCAGCCGCTCCGCGGCATGTGGGATCTTCCCGGACCGGGGCACGAACCCGCGTCCCCTGCATCGGCAGGCAGACTCTCAACCACTGCGCCACCAGGGAAGCCTCTTTCTTTTTCTTTAATTAAACTTTTTATTACAAAAATTTCAAGCATACACAAAGGCAGAGAAACTAACATCTTAAACTTCCATGTACCCATTACTCAGCTTCAAAGTTATCAATATTTTTCTATTCTTGTTTGATCTATTTCCCCCACAGCTTCTTCCCCTCACATTTGCTAGAATATTTCAAAGCATATTTCAGACTATCATATGATCTGTAAATATTTAGTATGTGTCTCTAACTGACTAGGATATTTTTTTAGACAGTCATAATTCCACTATAATTTCTGACAAAGTTAACAAAAATTCCTTAGTATCTCTAACATTTGGTCTATGCTTAATTTTCTCTGGTTGTCTCAAAAGTGTTTGTTCAAATCAGGACGCAAATAAGGTACATGCATTACATTTGGCCAATATGTCTCTTAGGCCTCTTGTAGCCAACAGCAGTTGCCAGTCCCCCTCCTTTTTGTAATGCCATGTATTTGTTGAAGAAATGGAGTCATTTGTCCGGAAGAACTTTCCACGTTTTGGATTTGGTGTCCTCATGGTGTTACTTCACACGTTTCTGCAAACAGGAGGGAGAGCTCGGGGCTTGATTATATTCAGGTGGACATATGCTCTGTTTTTTGGCGAGAATTCATCACTCCAGTCTTGAAACACTCTCTTCCTTGGCCTCCAGGACAGCATACCCCTACCTCTCGGGCTGCTTTTTGTCTGTCTCCTTCTCTGGCTGTCTCTTCCCTCAGCTCACCCTGACAGGGGTTCTCTTCAGATCTCTGACCTGGATCTGCTGGCCTGTCTGTGCCCCCTCCTCTCACACGGGCTCGTCCCCCTTCCTACTGAGTTGTTAGTCACCAGTTAAGGGCTGATGACTCTCACATGGGTGCTTCTAGCTCTACCTGTTGTCCTGGGCTCTGGGCATCACCCCAAGGGCCACCCTCTCTGTCATGCCCCACACCCACTCCATCCCTTTCCACGTCCTGTGGATTCTGCCACCCAAACATCCCTCCTCCCCACCCCTTCCATGTCTCTCGTGGACAGCTTCTACCCCCGTGGGCCTCCACTCCACAGGCAGTGTTCCAAATACAGATCTGACCATCTCACTCACCCCTTCCCTGCTTCAAACTCTTCCAGATCAAGTCCCAGTCCTTGCCTCGACCCTCAGGCCCGGTTCCCTGCCTCATCTCTTGCTGCCCCCATTC